CTACAGCGCTGATTTTCAGCACGAGCCTCAAGTATATTCACTATTTTTTTTACATGAATATAAATACAATTGACCGTGTGGCCCCGGCATAGAATAGATCACTCCTTTCTTTCCCGTGGGTGTCGTAAGAGGCGACTAAAGTAGGGTGAGAGACGGGCAACAGCGTCCCTTTTAAAACGTCTCCAGTCTAGTTGCGGTTGCCAATTCGCCTGTCAAGCGTAATAATTACTGGCAATCCCCCTCAAGGGGAATACTTATATTCTGCAGTGAACAGTATTATAATAAATACAATAAACGAGATATACCATGGGCGGTAAAATCTATTGTGTATGGACATCACTGATGTTATTTTCCATGAGGTGGACATTCGGTATGTTTGCCATAAAAAAAAATATACCTATTATAACTTTAGATATAGATTAATGTCTTTTGTGGTATCTATATTTGAAAATAATCAGTACAACATAAAGATATTGTTTTTTAGATCTTGAGTTAACAGTTTAGAAATTTTTGTGTATATTTTCAGAGCCAAGAAATTTTCCTTATAAACTGTGTGTTTGAAATCCATTATCATTAGAAACGATAATAAAACTCGACCATTACGTGTGCACTCAACAGCTAAGAACAGACATAAAAGTGAAGCTAATGAAAGTGCTTTAATTAATTATATTAAAATTACATTATGAATGATTAGAGCAGTCGCACGTGTTTGTAAGATGGTGCACCCTGTGCTAGATCTTCATACCTCAAGATGGAGTGTTTCAATGTAAACGGTTTGCCAAAAATGGGTCAACTTTTTTATCATGTATAAATAGGGATACCAGAATATATAATTATTACTCAGTAACTGAAAGAAATATACACTATTAAGACTATTTGAAAAATAAAAAATATTCAACATTTGATAAAATGGGGTAAACAAAGCATAGCGATTCATAGTTATGTTTATCTTCATGAATTATTGATATCTAGAAAAAACTGCAAATATGTACTCGATATGATTTATCATTAAAAGTGCCGTTGCTTTTATTAGCACATACATATATATATATATATATATATATATATATATATATATATATATATATATATATATATATATATATATATATATATATATATATATATATATATATATATATATTTTTTTATTTATATTTTTTTTTATTTCGTAAGTTTCGTAAGCACGCATTATATTTTAATGTAAATACTACCGGTTTAACTTACGTGTAATTAGATCGAAAACACATACACACACACGACAGCTTACCACCACAACCAATGGCAATAATACGGCAGACAAGACGTGCAGACAAGAAGACTACGGAGCCCAGCCGTTCATACCTGAAGAGTTCCAAACGCCGTCTTTCTTATCTGTGACGATACCGCCAGAGCCTATAGCTCGCGCTCACCGGGCCGAAACACGCAGTCAGGATCGTGCTTGCTCACAGTCATTCATAACTAAGGATCACGAATTGAATCCGAAACTAGTCGAAACTTTTTTCTATCTAATTACACGTAAGTTAAACCGGTAGTTATTAAATTAAAATTTAATGCTTACCGCGGTAGTTCATAATTGCGATATTTTATGAAAAAACTTTTCCCAATTTAAATTTAAAAACTCCATCTGATGTAAATAATCTTTAATATAATTACTTACTACACCGATATGTTGTAGTGAATAGAATACGTTAGTTTGTTTTAAAAAACATTTTGCCTAACTAAGTTGGCGAAAAACAACATTTAGTTAAATGAATTTTAGCCCGTTTAGATAATATACCTCAAGATGGAGCATGCTCCATCTTAAGGTATATTATCTAGGCTGCACCCTGCACGTCTCACTGCAGCGGTTTACCTCACATTATTTCTTTACGCCCGGTTAATATTCCGGTGGTGTAGGCGAACAACCCCAAGAGGAATACAAATTCTACATATTTCTAGACTAAATACCGCTTGGCGAATGTCACGAATGCATTATGTTATACGTATTGTAAATTTATGTTTAGATACTTTCGTTTATGCACCTACCTTTTATACCTGACTCCACCCATATGAAGGGAAATGTTTGTTAGTAATGGAGACTAAAGGCTCTATTGCTAGCAATATACTCAACTAGATCGACCTCCTCGTGGTCCTCCATGAAAACCACCGTGCTTAATTCCAAGTATATTTATCATGGGCTAACTGACCTGCCTGTTCATTCTCATCTATCATTCCTCACTGATGCCCCGCCAGCGTATACCGTTAGCGCAGGCAGTATATTCACAGTTTGTGGCGAATGGTTAACACTAGGCTCCAAGTAGTGATTTAATAAATTTGTCTGAAGATGCTTCATTTAGAGGTAAAACACGTGTCGCAAAACGTACGTGAATAAAATGGCAGTCGTAGATTGATGGCTAATATGGAAGATTGTGGAATTTCTGGTAGTAACAGTGGCGGTCAATCTTCAAATGTTAGCCGTCACACATATACTAATGGTAAAGGAATTAAACATAATAATTCTAATTAATAACCAACTCTCAAATAGTTAAATAGATTTGTATAAAATTTTGTACAAATTTTTCGTGTTTCTACCGTGAAGCAGTTGTATTTGCATGCCTGTGTTTTGGTTTGAAGCGTGGGTTATGGCAGGGAATTTACAGAATACAGAGAAATAACACCTGAGTCCTCAGAAATGGCAACGCATGGAGGATATATAGCATGGGGAAATAGTATACTCTATTATGCCCATGGTACTGCTCATGTCTATAGGCGACGGTTACCACTTTTCATTCTGTGGGCCGTCAGCTTGTTTGCCATTCTAAATTGCATAAAAAAACACAAGTTACCGTACGTGGACAAAATCGAAGAATATAAGAGTATAATGTAAATATAAATGCAAATAATAGTAAGGGGTGGGTAATACAATTATGTTATGAATGCTGTAAAACGCAAACTCATAATGAGACGGCATAGTGGGTTATTGTGCACTCTAAAATACAGTAAAATACAGTGACATGTAGCTCATCCATCATACTTGTGACTGAACAATTGCTGTTGGTCTGTTTATTTTAGTTTTACTGATTTGATTGTTTAATATAATTACGTATTATATATACGTAATATAATCTTTTTTTATACAACTTAGAATGGCAAACAAGCTGACGGCCCACCTGATGGAAAGTGGTAACCGTCGCCTATAGACATGAGCAGTACCATGGACATAACAGAATATACTGTTTCGCCCATGACACCCCCCATGCGTTGCCATTCCTGAGAACTCAGGTGTTATTCCTCTGTACCCAGTAAATTCACGCCATATCCCACCCTTCAAACCGAAACACAGCCATGCAAACACAACTGCTTCACGGTTGAAATATGAATGGGACAGAAGTGTCCAAACAAACGACTTTTGTGTAAAGTCTTCCTTTGGTGAATGTATGACTGACTGTATGTTTGTATCGGCATCACACAAAAACTACTACATCAAATAAGATACAGTTCTATAGTAGTGTTTCTGAAGATTTATCTTAAAATCTGGTGTACCTACATATGTTTTGTTTTGATACGTCAACTAAAAGTGATCTATTAAATTCTATTCGTCTGATTTCCACGCGTATGAAGTAGTCAGAAAATTAGTAATATGTTTTTATATAATACTAGTTTTTCGAATACAAATTGATTCTTTGTTGTGAATGGGACAGAGGTACTCAAGCAATCGACTCTTGTACAAAGTCTCCCTCTGGTAAAGAGGGATATCATAAGATCTATAAACTTAAATATATTATCATGTATTTATTTATATATGTATGTATGTATTTATAAGCATTGGTAGGCATTGTGCAGTGTCAAATATTATATAATACAAATTAAATTTTAAAAAATCAATTATTCTACAAACATCCAGTAACAAATCGATTTCTTGCAATTTTTTGCTGAAAGTGCTCGTTATGTGACCGACGGCACTGAGGTTCTATGTAAGGTTGAGATAGTAAACAATTATGTCACGACACTTTTAATTACAGTTTTTTTCTTTTGATTAGGAACTTTGGACTTCATGCTATAAATCTGTACCTCTACTGAGAAATGTATAAGTCAAGTTATATCCTTTTTTAGGCTATCAAAATAACCAAAATTTTCTCATGAAAGAAATGTGAAGATAATTTTATAAAAAACGAACGAACATAATATCTAAAAACCTACAATTATCTTAATATATTATAAAAAATAGTACCGAATGTAATAAGTTACATATATATATGTCTAATAGCTATGTTGTTCTTTAATTTTTTTCTTTAAGATGAATGAATGGTTGTTACTCTTTCACGTAAAAACTACTAAATGGATTTAAATAGGCTTTAATGGTTCAACCCATCATCTCAAAAGCATATACGAGTACGTGACAAAAAAGGACATACTATTTCTCATGCCAGTCAATTAATATATCCCGATCACGGGACAAAGTCGCAGTTTAAGACTAGTAACTAAATGAACAAATATACTCATAACTGTAATCCCTAGATAAGAGTCGTTTGTCGGCTATTACTGTTGTATGTACCTTATATTCTCATAATAGATTTTGTCTATTAATATATTTAATTCCCTTGAAAAGTTCAGATTTTTTGTTTTTCTCAGTCTCAATTCTAAAGTAAAATTATCTTTTTTTTTTTTTGAAAGGATATACTTATAATAAATTTGTCCCCATAATTTTTTTCGGTAGTTTAGTTTGAGATCAAAATAACTGGTATTACCACAATCAAAATCGGTCTCTTTGTAAAACACAATTTAATTCTGGCAACGCGATTCATTTACAAAAAACAACGTATAGAGAATTTCCAAGAAGATGAAGGCAATCCATACTTTGTAGTTTTAAATCAAAATAACTGTTTTTGTCACAATTGAAATTAGTTTTTTTTTTTTTTTTGGTGGGCACGATCTTTAATTATTTAAAAAAAACCGTACGATGCCAGGGTGAAACAATAGTTATAAAACAAATTCACTATATGTAGTTTACTTTATTATAAATTATTTTTATACTAAAGTTAAATGCATCAATAATATTAAGGGCATGAAAACTCTTATTTAATAAGTTAAAAAAAATTCCCTTAGAATATCTTCAAATGGACCACTTTTTACTTCCCCAAAATAATTCCTTTGAAATTTTAATTTATAGGCGAAGTTGGCACTGTCGGAGATTAATATTTCATCGTATTTCACACCGGGTCCCCAATTGCGTAGGGTTTGTCAGCGTTCGTTTTGAGGTAGTAAATTCCATCTTTCCTGAAACAAAACAATAGACGTGGATCTTCAAGATTTAAGCTAACATTCTCTTTACAAACGAATCATGTTTGTATAAACATAGATACGGCAAAGTTATTAAGGTTTAAGTGCGATATTTGACTATCAAATATGTTGGATCATAGGAAGATCTATAGGTTTACGAAACTATATTGATACAGGGCGAGTTTGCATGAATAAGTAAATTGATGAATGTGAAGGAAGAGAACGAGGTCTGTTTGAATCGGAGCATTTAACATTCCATTGTTTCTGTGTTACGAGATGTACAAATACAATACTGTTGATAGTGACGATATTTCCAACTGACTAGCAACTGCCAAACTTTGAACTTATATTACACAATAATCCAGCACATGCAGTGCTAAATTAATTAGAAAAAATATTTAGTAAACTACCATCTCTCTGTACTGCACGCACTAATTCATTTATATTTTGCCTACTCCAATGATATATATTGATATGCGTTTACCATAAAATTATTTTAGAGTTTTACAATATCTTGTACACCTTGGGAATCTCCTACTAAAACTACTTTTCATATCTACTCTATATTTGCAACTCTAAAATAAACATGTGATCATATATATTTGACAATGTAACTAGTTAGTTCTTACTAGGTAATTTGAATAAAACTTTAATTTGGGAAATGTATATACGATTTGTGTTTCAAACATTTAATGCAGTAATTACTAAACTTTTTTTTTTATGTATTGTAATATTTGACTTAATCGATCAATTTGTATATGAAAAATGAGTTTATGCAAAAATTTTACTCCGTTATTCATAAGAACATCAAACATCTTATAAAACTATTTCAGCTATTGAGGTGTCTTGTATTTTAATTCTTTTTTAACCTATTTTAACTCTAACAGTTAAAATAGGTTTAAGAAAAAGGTTTTAGTTTTTATGAATATCTTACATAATTAAATATTTTATATTTTTAATTACAAATATAAAAAAAAGTCGTAACAAGTAGGTATATTTAAAAGAAAGAAGAGCAGTATTTTTATTTTCAACCGACTTGTTAAAGACGGAGATTCTCAATTCGGTTGCACTCTTTTACAATTTTTTTTCTTTTTTAATATTCCGTGAATCGATTCAAAATATTATTTTTTATATTTGTGGAACACAATCATAAGGTATGTTTGCACATGTATATAAAAAAAGTTTGCAGAGAAAAATAGTTTACAAAGAAAAACCTGTTGAGTGAAATGACGATATAATCACAAATTCCACATGTGACATTTTTTTTTGTATTTCTTTCATTGATTGTTCACAGCACGTATTACATAAATTACTAACAATTAAAATTGTTAGCGAAGTAATCTAATCAAAATTCTTTACAAACACATACTGTATGATCGTCTGGACACATCAACTTATCATAAAACAACTCACCCGAAATGTACGTCGAAACCGCCCATGATTAACGTCTCCCCGGTGCCCTTACAGGAGCCGTGGTAATAGAGCTCGTCGTAACTCTCACACCGGACCCCGGTGAAGGGCACGTCGGAAATTATGGACTCGGCAAAGAACATGTGGGCTCGATTATGGGCGCAGAGTCCTATAAATTGTCAGTTTTAATCCTTTTTAATTAATATTTAACCATGTAAAACATTCCAATTATTTATTTTACTATTTTGAATGATTTAATTTAAATATTGCAAAGTAGAAAGAATTAAAATCATAAAATATTCCTAGTAATAGAGTGCAAAAAGATTTGTAAAAATAAATTAAGAAATTGTTCTGCACTCAAACCTTGATAAGCTAACAAACTACATTAAAATTTCACGTTAGTTCAATAAAAATACGTAAAAATGTTTGTAGAATGGTATTTCTTTTCGACTGCTTAAGAAAGGAGAGTAATATATTTGGGATGTATGTATGTACCTATCTGTTACTGGTAGGTATACACAAAATACTTAACCAAGAAACTTTGAAACAATATTATGTAACATGTAAGATCACATTGTTAGATGAGCAGAATAAGTTTCATATCACTTTGATGTTCGCTTTTGTAAAATTAAACGATATGATTTCTGCAATCAATTTGATTGAATAATGATGATACGATATAACATAGGTATATCTTTGAATATAAAAATCATTAATAAAAAAATATGTTTTACTATTCATTCAGTATTACTGAATTTCGCACTTGTATATGCTTTTTACCCATTTATAAAATATTCAACTAAATTCCAATAGGAGGACGTTTTTAATTTGACGACATACATATGTGGCGGTAGACGGTAGCTTCGCGTAATGAGGTCGAGAGTTCGATTTCCGGACGGGTCAAATTAGGAAACGAATTTTTCGGTCGGTCCTCAGTTATACCCCCAGATGTTTGTCGTCTGGTTTCTTATAACACAGTGTATCCTAAGTTTAAGGACCATTAAATTGGTGTGGTTGTGTAGGCAGTTATGTAGATATATATATATATATATATATATATATATATATATATATATATATATATATATATATATATATATATATATATATATGTCCTTGATATCATTATCATCATCATAAAATATAATAAAGCTGTAACTAAAGGCTTTTCTTTAACAAACTTTAATAAGATACGCCTTGTATCCTATGTTGAATTGATATATGGTGCAAATTTCATTTAAATCTGTTCAGCTGTTTAAGTGTGAATAAGTAACGAATATCCAAAATCCTTAAATTTATAAATTCTGGAACAAAATTAAAGCAGCCTTCATTTTTTTATTAGTCAATGAATCTTATCCAAACCTCTATAATCGAATCCACAACCAGGCTGCCGTGTACCACCATTTGGATAAAAGTCAATATGTCCTAATGGCGACGCAAAACCAAGGTAGCCACCACAAGTATGTATAACTTCTACATGCCTTGCGTCATGTTTGTCCAGTCTCGCGTCTTTATTGCCAAATGTGAAGAGTGGTAAGGCCGGATCTAAACCTGAAAGAATTTTAAAATGTAATGGGTCCAGTTCATATTGGATCAATAAATTTGATCAACATGTACGGGTCCACTTTATCAGTCATTAGTGGACCACGTTTAATCAAGTAATAGATTATTATCAGTTTTATATGCTTAAAGAATCTTGCCCTACTCAGCTATCATCATCATCATATCAGCCTTTTACTGTCCACTGCTGAACAAGCCTCCTTCTTGAGGGGTTTTGCCAGTATTTTCCACGCTTGGTAGGCGGGTTGACAACCGCAGTTAGTGTTTGGTGATGTTTTAAGAAGGACGCTACTGCCAATCCCTCGACTAAATACAATTATAAAAATAGTATCCAATGTGATGCAATAGTTTTTGCGTGTAACAGTTTTTTTTTATATTGAAAACAACCAAAAGGCTTTTACTCTTATTGAGTTCCTTCATTTAAATTTTCTCAAATATCTCATCTACAGAGACTGTCTAGTTACAATTTTATTATATAAGTAAAATTTGTAAAATTAGTAAGATCGTAAAATAGTAAGAGAGTAAGAAAGTAAGATAGATAAATAGTAAGATAGTAAGATATTTGGTATAGATAGCATTAAAAATATTTGTTAATAAGACATTTAAACAAGAGTTTCTAGACAGTTGTTGTTGTACATATAGTGCATCATAAAATTACCAATTTCATAGCTGGTTGAGCATATCCACTAGTATGATAATGCACCTGAGATAATAGGCGCATTTTGCATTTTAAAACTCATCATCCTTTTAATGTAATGGCTAACGATAAGTACTGTATTTTTTATACCACTGAGGTGGCAAATAAACATACGGCTCACCTGATAATAAGCGGTTACCGTAGCCTATGAACGCTTGCAATACCAGGGGTACTGTACATGCGTTGCCGACCCTAAAGAAACATTTTTAACCCCCGTTTGATGAACCCCATGCTGTAGTCTCTAGGGAAAACCTCGGCAGACAGCTTATTTAATACAGCAAAAAATAATTTTGTTTACTTATAATTTATTAAAAATGGGTCGAGAAACATCTTACGATTTAAATTGTAATTTGTTTATTAGAAATTATTATCTTTATAAAAATATTATAATAAGTTACCTATCATAACTTTGAAAACGATCCAAACATAATATAGTTTACATACTTTTTTTAAACAATATTGATTCTTATATAGGTATATTTGATAAAATGTGTTAACAATCGAATTTACAACTTAAAATTTAGACAACTTAAACTAACAACTAAAATTAACATATTATATTGAAATAATCTAGAAACTGGTAGACTGTGTATTTGTATGTCATCTCAATGATAAAAAAGACTATATTCAAAATAATAATAATTTTTTATTCACCTTAATAATAAGCATTTTTTAAATAGTCATATTTTTTTATGAATATACCGCCCAATTTGAAATACAATTTTAGCTAAGAAGAATGAACAAGAAACACAACTGATGCTTTTTTTTTTCAAATAAAAGTTTTTTTTACATCAAAAATATGAATAGATAGAATGACTATCACAAACTCCATATTGATAAAAAGAAAGAAAATAAAAAACTACAATCAATCGCAGTATTCTAAAACGTACCAGTCCCTACTTCGAGTAGAAGCACCCGTTCACAAGTATGACAGATGAGCCAGCCATTGTTGTGTTCAACCATATTATAGAGAGCTCAACAACCCGGCCCACCACGCTGCCGAAATTAGAGACAGTAATAATAGAGGAATACTGTGTAAAAAACTCGACAATGTAGATAACTTAATCCCACTATCTCACTACTCATGTATCTGTGGTTTCATGGCTCTGTTACGGTTTGTAGGTTGGCATATGACAGTGTGATAAGTAGGTGTAAATTTATAACATCATAATCATTAAAGATATTGACGTAGCATGGCACTCTGGTGATGTACGTGGTTTTATTCATAAGACGATTGTGACACCATCTGTCATAATGTTCAATCAGCTTATTTGTTATTTCAAGATAATAAATACATTAAATAAAATTAAATAAATAAATTAAACAATTACCTGTTATAGAATATATCGGGCCTCTTTTGACATGAGCACCGGCGATACCCGACACATGGGCTCCGAGACTGTGCCCTATAAGGTGGACATCATTCATGGAGACACCTTCCCGGATAAGAAAGTTGAGGAACTCGGTAAGCAGTCTCCCCACCATGGCGACGTTATAACTAGCCAGTATATAATTAACATTTGCTGCATTACTCCAATCTACTACAATGATGTTCACATCACTAACATTAAGGTAAGCTAAAAATAAAAAAATAATTATAAATGTGACATAATCAATTAAGGTAAACCTAGACCCCGCCATGAAAATCTTATCGAGCAGAAAGCTAAGTATTTTACGAATTATAGAATTAAAAATCCAAAGACCGTTACAAACTATGTTATATAATTTTTTTTTACAACACAGGGGGCAATCGAGCGTGCGGCTCACCTGATGGTAAGTGACTACCGCCGACTATGATCACCCACAACACTAACGGCATTGCAGGTGTGCTCCCGGCCTTTTAAAAAGGAATATGCTTTTTTCTTAAAGGTTATGATGTCGTATCGGTTCGGAAATATTTGTGCTGGAAGTTGATTCCAAAGTGTTGTTGTGCGTGGAAGAAGATGCCTTGAAAAACGCACAGTGGAAGACCGCCACTCGTCCAGATGGTTGGGATAAAACTTTAGTTTATGGCGGGTTGTACGGTGGTGAAAATCAGCAGCAGCATTATTATTAGCATATTTCATTATCAGCCTTTAAGTATCCATTGCTGAATATAAGCCTGCCCCTTGGGAGATTTTACCTATAGTTGTTACGCTTTGCAGGAGGATTGGCAACCGCAGTTAGGCTTTAGAGATGTTTTAAGAGGGATGCTGCTGCCCATCTCTCGCCCTCTTTTAATCGTCTCTTACGACACCTACGGGAAAGAAAGAGGTGGCATTTTCTATGCCGGGACTACACGGCCAATGTAAGATATAAATTTATTATTATTTGCAAATGTTTTATTAACATGACAATTTTTTTATTAAATACACTTAGGACACCAATAGCTACCACCTTTTTCTTTTCTTCTCTGCCTAAAGATTATCCAAGAGATTGCTTTAGCGATAATACCATCCTTTGTACATAATGTAATATATACTTATTTTTGTGTTATTCTTTAAACGGTAAATAATTAAATAAATAAACTTTCTCATCTGTCTACGGTCAACTGGTAGATAACGCCATATGGTGTATGCTCGCCATTTACACTTTTTTGATGTACAAAAGTTTAATAAATAAATAATTATATTGAAATAAAACTATACCTTCCTTGATTGATTCCGGCATAGGGCTGTATCCATTATTGACCCACCCATGAGTCAATACCTTGATTTTCTTGTAAAAATCGAAATTGGAGTTCCGTAGAGAAGCCGTGTCGTTAATATTGATTACTTGGTAATCATATGGATTACTCCTGATATAATTAAAATCATTTTATAATAGTAGTAACTACTTAGTTTGTTTTTAGTTGTGAGATTAGCTTATAATTAAGCTAGCTGTTGCCATCGAAATTACAGACTTTTCGACCTTTACCATTCTATTATAGTATGAATTTACAGTCTAGTAATTACTTGAAGTCTCTTATTTAATCTTTTCAATAATGGATTTTATGTACTTACTAGGGAAATTTGTTTTATAAGCTTTTGTGAAAAATAGATTGAATTCAAGTATATATACAAGTATACTCCAGATGATGACGGTCATGTGACTATTCCATGTCATCCTCAGAATATCGTAAAACGGTACTAAAGGAATAAAATACAGTACAATAGTGCTTGTGAAGGAAAACTCTAAATAAAACTCTACACAGATGTCTGACTTTTATGGTGATAATAGCCTAGAAGCTTATAGAGAAAGTAATGTAAAACAGTGGAGCCTTATTAAGATGTTAAGGTTGAGGTTTAATCAATTAATTATACCTTGTGAATAATCTGAACTGAACATCCGACTCGGAAACCCAACCCATCCAGAACCTGGACTCGTTCAGTGCTGGAACTACGGAGTACTGCTGGACGCTCGCCAACCATACAGGATCGTATGGTGTCGGAGCGTCCCATTTTATTCCTTCAACTCCAACAGCTAAAACATATCAATACAAAAACAAATTACTGAAATGCTCGTAACAATTTATACGTATGGTTTCTTGTAAAATAAATGTAGGTTTAAGAATCGTCACTCTATCGCCTTCAGTTTGACAATGAGTTAGGAAATTTAGTTGTATATAAAACGGTGTCCTCATTCCTGTAGTTTACTTTTACTATAAAAAACAATATAACACCAGACGTAATTTAATTATTTCTCTCCGTGATAAGGTTGCCTGGAAGAAATCGCTATTTACTGATAAGGCCACCTATTGTTGCCTCTTTACTTTATTTCTTGTAAGATTTTTTGAATACATTTTGAATTACATTTTGAAAACTGTTAAACTTCAAATCTAAATATCAGTTAGTGTATCGTATTTATAAAAAAAAAAATTAAACTTGCTTAGTTATTGTAAAATATCTCTGTTTTGTAAAAAACACAACCGAAGAATTGTCCTGTTTTTATTTTAACTTATACCCGTAGATTCTTATTACATTAATAAATAAAATCCAAACATTAGTTTCGAACGATTTTTCCAATAAGAATCTCGCTCAATGTTTTTATTTTACAAATTCAGTGCCATAAAGTTAACGAAATCAACCACCGGGACGAAGCGGGTGAAATGGAAACAGTACGAACCAGTTGCAGCGCCAACCGGGTATAGAATGTTGTGAATAAAAACAAAGAACGGCAAAAGATTTCCGCGGTTCAGTCCGCCTTCTCCATTTGTTATTTGATTTCTCGTGAAATTGCCAAGCAAAAACTTTTCTATACGAGTACGACTCTTTGTTGATTTTTAATAGTAGTCCCCTTGAAACGGTACAGCTTGTTCCTTTACTTTAAAAGTTACTATTTTTATAGAAAAAAATAAATAAAAATAGACTCTTGCTTTCAATTTTATTTACAATAATTTAGTACCTAACAGTTATTCGCACTACAATTATAAGTCGATCTCATTTTAATTTCATCATTGTCATGTTAATTGACGACCAAATTCTTCAATTTCAAGTTTCTTAGGATCGGCAACGCGCACGTAACACCGCTAGTGTTGCAGGCGTCCATAGACTACAATGACCGTTTACCATCAGACAGACTGTATGCATGTTTGCTACTTTTTTAGTATAAAAAAATTTAACTACACGGACTACTTGGAGTGAAGAAAAACATTGGCTATTATAGCTACATTATTTATCCCAAAATTATATCTAAGTGATTAAACATAATTTATTCAATGTAATAATATTACTTCTTAATATAATGTGCCAAAATCTACAGATTAATATAATAAAATTTATTACTTTAATCACTTTATATTTTAATGACATAGACTTTCTTTTTGTTTACACATAAACAGATGTCAGCGTGTGTTACTACAAACACGTGTCTAAACATGTATTTGTAATCAAAAATCTAAACAAGTATAGGACACTTCTCTATTGCAAGTTAACTTTATTTTTAATAAAACAGAATGTTCTCGTATCTAAGCTCAACCTTCTATAATCGTTATTGTTAGTGTGAATAAGTACCTCTTTTATATAGTCACTTGAAAATTTTTAAACATCTATTACAATAAAGTTACTAATAACACTAATATGCCAATAATATTGTAATATAAATCTAAATCAAAAGGGGGGTAAAGAGGTTTCTTCAGGGTCGGCAACGCGCGCGTAATACCTCTGGTATTGCAGGCGTTCATAGGCTACGGTAACCGCTTACCATCAGCTGGGCCGTATGCTTGTTTGCCACCTCAGTGGTATAAAAAAAATCTATAAGAACTTGGTAATTCATGTGATTCCATATATAAAAGCTATTGATACGTTTCGCGATAACGGCACTAACTGCTTTCCTATCGATAGTATATTATTGGATTTAAATAAATGCCTACTTCATGTAGCGTATTGTTTATTTAAACATTAGATATAGCTACTTTATTACTTCATTCGTGTGAACTATATTAAACTTCAACTTAAAGTAAACACTACTTAATAATAAATAGTTTAAATAGACCAGCGATTCAAAATAATCAATGTTAATAATTATAATTAAATTTTAATACTAATTTATATTAATATAATATATGAATAGACTTTAAAAATTTTATGAAGTATAATCAGTCCGGCCATTTTTAGGAAACACACAAAAAATCACAAAAACGAAAACCAGTAGGAAAAAATTGAGAGTCATTGTTATGGGTTTAGTATCGCGTGTATTATAAATTCTTAAATTACATTTTCAAAAATATTTCATTTATAGGTTTTGCTTCCGTAACATTTCATAATGTAAAAATTTCAGTAATCACGGTTTTTTAGCCAAAGGAGTGACTGCACGCCATAAATCTTGCCGTAATTTGTTGGCCTCGATTTTTCTTTCATACCTGAAGGCTAAAATATAAATAATTGTCTGCAATTTATAAAGCGTAAAATTATAAAGAACCGAATTAATTAAAGTACCTACACTAAATAAAAATTTTGTGTTCTATTTCTCATTAATGTCTTTCTTTTTTCATCTTTCGTTAAAGTTTATCCATGAAAGAAATATTAATGTAATTTATATTTATAAAAAGTACGGTCACGTATCGCATTTACGTAACCTTTTATTTGTAATTAAATGAATTGTAATAAAAGTCAGTTATATTTATTATACAATACCAGTTTTAAATAATTATATAGGTTTCGCTCGGGAGTTAAACGTATAACGGTGATATTAGATTCCAATGAATAATTCTCCTCATTTACTACCTACTCCTAAACGGGAACGGTTCACTTCCAAGAAAGGGCTGAGGAAAACGAGATTGTTATCGCTTCACGACATCTATTAATTAAAACTAAACGTGTGAACACACCACTCTCTACAACGTGAAAGTTGACTAGGAATTTGTAGGTTAGTGGGTGATACTATACTTACTAGTTTGTTTAAATGATTGTAAAATTTAATGGCGATTTACAAATTTTTACATACTTATTTTACAAAATCTATTACAAAAATGTTCAAGAACAAAAGTACACAAATATTTATAAATACTTATGTACAAATTTGACTTATTTAATAGTATTTGATATAAATTTACACAACCAAATACAAATTATATTACCGTTTAATAGTTTGTTTCGCGAAACACTAGCTGTTTGAATAGAATACCTAGCACCTAATTATATCTTTCCGTTTAAGTATTAGTTACTATGTGTAAAATATTTTTAAAATTAATCCAATTACATCATAGACTATATAGAGTTGTAAAGATATGTATAATATATTATTATTAAGATTCAAGCTTCTAACCTCTCCTTTCTATTAAAATTCAGATGATTTTCAAAGATTTTGTTTATAATTCCTATATTGATGCACTCTAAATTTTTATGTCTATCTATTTAACGTATTAAGATTAAGTTAACTCACTCTTTTAATACCGTTTAGATTTTAGTGTAAACTTATAAAACATATTCCTTTAATTAATCAACTAAGTTTGTGAACAATTTTTTTGTCTGAACTACAATATAAGATACGTACAATACAATACTCAATACGTTTCTTCGAATTCGAACATGTTTTCTCGAGAGTTGACTAAATGGATAACACAAATCGATGAATGAATGCTTCGAACTTGACCACAGAACAGGAGTATCATTGTCTTTTCTTTGCTCTTCTATTCTTTATTCTTAAAACTCAATACCATTTCTTATAATCTGAACAAATATTTTTTTCTTTCAGTGTGACTCTACCTTTACATTTTGCATTACGAGAACTGGTACTATTAGTACTAGTTCGTTATTTATGCGGTAGGATTATTAAACTAATTATAACTGTGCTTACAACTTTATTTATATTATCGAATTAAAAAGTCATTTTTTGTGCAAAATACAACGCATACTTATTGATGAGAAATATATTCATGAAGATTGAAAAGTTTAAACAAACAATGCAACAAATTTACTTTCACATTTATACGGTGCATATCAAACGGTCTTCTGGGTGACATGTACCTACTGTTATATATATATATATATATATATATATATATATATATATATATATATATATATATATATATATATATATATATATATAATTATATTTTTGTGTCTAAGTCTACAAAAAGTGCCTTTATACTTATTTAAAATAATTTAATTTATAAATTAATATACGAGTATTTAGAATAAATTTTTCACTTCACAGGTTCCAATGATACTAAATATGTAAGCCCTAGATTTACATAACCTTAAAAATTTAAGCAACGTTTAGCAATTTCATATCAATAATAAATGAACTGTAATTTATTTGGGATAAGTGTATTGCAAAAATATAACTGAATAATTGATTTATTTGAAATAATAATCTATTTTATGGTAGCTCCTTTTAATAGAAGTATCCAAATATTGATGAATATATAAGCATACATAGTAATATATAATAATGTAATTCATATAAACGACGAATTCCATTAATTTCAATAAAACCGATTAAAACGAAACTGCACTATAAAATACCAAACTGACCTGTATAAATAACAAACAACCACAAAAACATTCCAGCTCTGTACCCCAGTCACAAACATCAGACACACTGAACAACTGAACTTTTCACACATCAACTGAAACTTTGTTAAAACTTCAAGTTGGAACGTTCATTTCGAAACTAAATCTAATTGGTCCGGCAGTAAGGACTTCTACATTTTGACTGGCCGCACGAAGCAGAGATAGAATTTAAATTTACGTAGCGGTATCAGATGCATTACGATTCATGTGGCGCTCCGACTCTGTCCAACATTGGCACTGGTCATATTAATCATACTACGCTCTATTAATATTACACACCATGCTTGTGCACATTTCACCTGCAAATATTAATGAAGACTCCTGTGAAATCAGTATAGATCTCATTGTAAAAAAAATAGGTCGACTTGAATGTTTTACTATTGCATTTACTATCGCATCACTTTCTGTATATATCACATTGATTTTGTAGTAATTTGTATTCTATAAATATGTCTTAGTATTTTGTAGTATTTTATTCTATGCCTTTTTCTACTATATAGACGAAATCATAATCATTTAACAGTTATCTATTTTTCTAAATGATTATTTAAAAAGTGCCAATTAAAACATTAATCATATAATAATTTGTACATATTTCGAAATGGAAACTTTGTGCAGAATTTTTAGAAATAGACCGGGTATACCATATTCGTAATACAGTAGTACGAGGAGGAAATGATTTGAAAGAAAGTGTTGGTGCAAAAATAAGAAAGGGCATATTACATGGTTTCGAGAATGTAGAAAGAATTTTAGATAAAAGGTTGATGAAGCAGATAGGTATGCAATGCAAAATGAAAACATACAGATTCTGGAAAAAACTTCTTAGCTAACCCCCTATAATGTAATTGATGAAATTGATAAAAATATAATGTTTATCGAATATATAATCCATTTAGACTTAACTTAATCACTAATGACATATAATAAAACTGTAAATAAAATGATATTACTTTTTAAAAAGACTTAGAAATGATTGATTAGAAAAAATACATAATTGTTAAGCAAAATGTTTCTTATGAAATACGCCTTAGAAATATAAAATATCGGCTCCCTAAGGGGTAGAAATAGTGTTTGAAAGTAATATGAAAAAGTTTGGAATAAGTCTCAAACATCTTGACATCAGATATCGGTTTAGAAGTTTCGTTTAAACGGGGGTCGATTCGATTTTTTCCTAGTTTGATCCAACGATTCTGTAACTTTACTTATTGTATTGAATTAAAGCTCCTTAGATTAAAAAATATATATTAAAAAATACCGGATGGAATTTAATTACTGTCAAAATTTTTATAGGATAAAAATGGAATAAAATACCTCGCCTAAGCTATTGGCATATACTACTATGTTAAGAATTTTAGGCCTATTTGTTAATACTTACTTTGATAGTTAAAATTCACCGTGAGAAATACCAGACAAGATGCCATTTGTAAACTATGTAAGACTGTTAGTGAATCTATTACTGCATACCTATCTCTCTTTGTCACTAACATTAGTATGCTAATTGCGTATAGTTATACATAAATACATTTTTTTTTTATTTGAGACAGACTACACTAGAGAATAGTACCTTGTGTAGTCTGTCTCAAATAAAAAAAACGTAAACGTAGAGAACAGTATCTTGGTCTTTTAAATTTATTAACATGAATTATTTAAGAATTCAGAAATTGATAAAATAAATTTTAAGTATTATCCAATTATATATCTGGAATTTGAAGACTAAATTCTTAAATAGGTATTTACAAATTATAAAATAATTATAAAACATCTTAAAACTTTATGAAAGTCCAAAAAAATGCTGAAAGTACTAAGAAATAATTAAAATAATAAAAGAACACCGAGACTGTGTAAATACGAGTACATACCTACTCTCAAATATTCAAGCGTTTCTTTAATTTCAATTAAACTTGTTAATAAAAATTTCAAGTAAAATATAGTTTTAAAATATTATAGTTATTTTATAGACTGTTACTCCCTAATAATGTAGCTTTGTATAAATGAAAGAATTTTTAAATTCGCTCAAGTAGATTTTTAGTTTATCTATACAAAAAATCTAATTTATCTTTATAAGATTATTAGTATATTAATTAGTACAGATACAAGCAAGTTTACAGATTCATTTTATACATATATATATATATATATATATATTGAGCGGAATCATCATGAAGTACCTAAAATAAAGATAAGTTTATAGGTCTAGTATTATTTTTACATTATACGTATATCAATAAGTTCTAATAAAACATAGGCACCTAATAATTCGGGTCCCGTAGCACGCAAATTTGTATAAATTAAATTGATTTCTTTTTCCTAAAAGACATATAAATTAATATCAACGTTCTCCAAGAAAGCCAGTTCCTCTGTTAAGCTACAACTAGTTTAACTTATCTGATTAAGCGCCAACTTAGACAAGTTAGCGCTTAATCGGATAAGATTTATATCTAAAATATGGTGAATTAACAGTACTACACAAGAATATCCAAAATTCCTAATTTTATGTTTGCTTGTATGAGCTTTACTTGTGTTGTAAATTATTTTTTTAAAGTTTAATCCTTACTGATATTATAAATATGAAAGTGAGTTTGTTTGTTTGTTACCTCTTAACGCCTAAAGTAATAACTGCAAAATGTTATATACATGTACGGAATGCAAAAGAATATAGGCTACTTTTTATCCTGGTCAGTAAACACCGAATTTCACAAATTGAATTGGAAAGTAATTTTTCGAATTGAATTTCAATTCGAAAAATCACTTTTCCTTTAAGCTTCTCCTTACTGGTTACTCTGTTTGATTACTATTTGCTCTTCTATTGCAGTTGTTTTATTTAATTGTTTTATATAGTAATATTTTATGTATTTATTTATGTGTGTATTTATTGTAGGTATATATTTATTTAATGTGTATGTTTATATTATATGAATTTATCAAATATTGCTTTAAATTTCCTCTATTCAAAAATGCACAGCCTACGTATTTCTCGGTTTACCCAATGTTTAACTGGTAGAGAATACCGTCTGGTGTTAAGTCCGCCAAATGTACATAGAATTTTTCTGTGCATTAATGTTTAAATAAATAAAAAAATATATGTATACAAACAAGAAAACTTAATTAACATGTTTTTTTTTTCTATGTCCTGAATTCCAGATAACTTATTCTTTTGATGATTCCACGATAGTAACAGCAACTAATAAAGTATACTGGTTCGTTACTGTTGAAAACCCTCCACTTCAGTAGAGATCCAACCCTTTGATGTTTGCCGTTGTCAACCCGCGCAAGTCCTTGACCTCATTTAAATGAAGGTGACATACATACTTTTTTTGCAATAGAGAAAATAATTACGAATTTAATATATTATACTATATTGCTATTTTACATATTTACTATATAATGGTCAAAGACGTAGATGTATTTCTAATGGGCAGCGTGCTGCAAATGTTACACGTTACAAAAATAAATCAAAATTAAACAAGAAGTGGTAGAGTGGCAATTCCACGAAAATCATAATTTCTTTATATCATGCAACAGGTTAAAATAGACAGGTTTAATATATGTATCTATATATAATAAAGATCTACTGACATAGATGTATATATATATATATACTCTCATATCAGAGAATGGACGTAACGATATCTATCCTGTTTTAATGAGTATCAGCATAAATAAGTAGGATGGCTTTATTATCTGATAATTCCAGAGTCATAGTCAAAGAAGTAATGATTGATGAATTGGAGTCATATGATAGACATAAGTAACTTCTTTAGTGTAAGTGTGTGTGTACGATAAGTAATCAACGTAACAAGTTATTGTCAATGAATATTACTATTAAATAAGTACCTATAATGAATTTACTAAATTTGTTCATGACTTTAAAACAGAGGGACTTTTTTAAACTGAGAAGAAATCATGTTTTATCTTTTGTACGTATATCATGCGAAATCTATAAGTTTTTATTATGTACCTTTTATTTGTCGTAAAAATTTTGGTATTGTTTCCCAATAATGCACTTTGTATATACTTTTATATCTATTGTAAACAAGTCGGAAATAAAGTCTTGGTTGCTTATTTAAATTATCAAAGGCAATAACAACAATATAAGAATTCACAAAGTTGGTCTTCGGTCGAGGAAACCATTGAGGTTTGTGTGACAATGATCTTCAAAGAATATTTTAATTAGTATTGTGTTTCAAAATGTATAATGTCTATATGTAATATAATTATTATTGTTTTATTTTATATAGCAATGCTAATACGATGCATAAAGAATGCCCCAATTTTAGGTCATATGATGCGTGAATTTGCTTTCATAAAATTATGTGTACGTGATGGGTCCACAATTCTGAGTAAAATGAATGTATATTTGTAATATATATTCTCGTTTGCCAATTATCTTATTATTTCATTTATTTCATTACGCTACAACTATTGGGGACTCTGGCTATGTCATTATTAAACGAAAATGGAATTAATGCAAACGAATTTAAGATCATATTCAAATGGCGTTTAATGTTTATAAGGTGAACCCAATTTAATAATCACTTCCACTGACATTGTATATTTCCATAATTTAAATTTATTTAATGATGCTTTCGAGACAGGTTGACGTAAATTGAAATTCATATCAAAAGAAACCAGAACAAACAGCTTTATCGATCGTTCCGCAGAGCATCGAACCTTGTTACTACTGGACACATCGATACGAACCGAGAAGTAGCCACCCCGTGGTCAATATTTGAACAGCTGATTAGCTTGCGATTTCTGCCCGCCATGACGCTTCGGAAATAACTTTGGTACACAAACAACATAATTCACTTTCGCTGAATTTCGTATTGATTACGGTGTGGGTAGACTGTATTGGGCTTGATTGGCGCTCTAACTTGCAAATAAGTAACACGCAAAACTAATGGAGATACGGGATAAATACCGTCTTGAGTATATTTATAGATTTAACCGTTTTTCCTCTTACCATTTATTCTCTGTACGGCGATTGCGATTATATATATACCTTTACAAGCAAATTTACGTTGTTGCTAGTGTTCTGACAGTACCAATAGTATTTAACTATTCAAAAGTTTCTTCCAAAATTAATCATGTATTGCAGGATTATTATATGAATACTGAAACATTTTGCTTATGAATAGAAATACTATATAACAAGTGTCCGAATGAGCCAATACATACATTATCTTTTTTGTGTAGCTTTAAATGCCAAATAAGCTGAC